CAGTAATTCATTCTTGTTTATTTTCTTTAATTCAATTATAAATGAGAATCTTTCCACTTAGTTCACCTAAAACAAACATGTTGAAGAGCATTATGAGTTAAATGAGATTACTGATTAAATTTGAGTCCTTGACAATTACATTAGAAAATATATACTAAAAGAAGTACTAAATATACTGGACATTTTAAATGATCTCTGTTTTGTCAATTTGGAATAGTTATTGGGCATGAGATGGACGACACCGGAGACTTTCTCCAAGTACCTGTCAAACATGCTTGCTGGCACAGAGGTTCACCAACACAGCAAGGCTTAGACAAACTCCTTTTTTCAAAAAAAATTCAACAACATTCACATTTCTAGATGAAAATATTCAAACTATGTTCCAGGATTTATGTTTATCTGTTATGAAGAAGTCTATCTACTATGAACAACTGAACACTGAAGCATTCAGTGTTTCCAAGCAAACCAGCTTGTCCCTAACACAGTCAGGGCTTGAAGAATGAATCACAGCAAACATTTGCTAAAGAGCCACAAGTTCAAATTTGTGGACACAGCGTATTCATAAATGTGTTGGTAAAGAAGGCCTGTGACAAATAATTCATGAAGTTTTCATGTGGACCCTGTAGCTGCAGCTGCAGTGATGGCTCCTGTCAAGCTGGGAACTCAACGCTCCAAGCTGATCTTACCCGTCCAAGTTGTTGCTCCTCGAGCAAGCAGTGCCAGATACCTCAGCAAAACCCTTCGTGCAAGCTGACATGACAGAGGGAAGCAAAACAGGGCAGTTTTTAGAGCTTTCTAGGCACTCCTCACTACGCAGTCTTTTTGCATGTTCTCTCTAGTACTGAAGTACCCAGGAAATACATGGAGCACTCATGTTATACACGGAGCTGTAACGATTTTTCAATAGCCAATAAATACATGTGGAGTGGTGGTCATGGAGGTGCCATACCTGAATCTTGCACCTGATATATTATCCAGGACAGAGCAAGTGTTTTTTTTTTCTTTTTCCTTTCTGCTGCTTTCTACATATCTTTGTTCATCTTAATTTCCACCAAATGGATTCTTTTTTTCTCAAATGAACCTAATTCCACTGTCCACTAATGAACCTAAGTAAGTCCACTGTCCATAATTCTGAAGTCCACACTGTTTTTTTTCCACTCTCCCAAACGAGCCTGTTTCTCAGTTTTGACATACTGTTTTCTTTAGTAAAATAAATACATTAATTCTTGGGTTCCTCAGCAGAGCCTACTACAGTTAGATCTGACTGACATGAAGATTTCAGAGGGTGGTAGGGGTCCACCTGGGAGAGACAAAACATATGAACCAGCATCTCATCTGAAAAGTCTAGATGAAGGATGGGAGAGGAAGAGTGTCCAGGACCCAGCCTAGAAGGGAGGACAGGGTCACATTTAGGGTGTACAGACAAAAGAACTTGTGCCAAACAAAGCAAAATGCTCTGCCAGCTTCTGGAATGGGACCCAAAATTGCTGAGATGCATCTACTGTCAGCAGATATCCCCCAAAACCACTGGTGAAATATCCTATCCCTTGGCAATACTAGTGCACAAAAAAACCCCAAAACCCAACACTGAAAAAGAGTGTGCTGTGATAGCTGCCCTCGACAGGGTCTGAACAGAGTTCGCAAAAACAACCCTCATTCTAGCAATCCCCAAAGGCTCATTCAGGCTTCCTGCTGTTTTTTCAACTTTTTTTTTTTTTTTGGAGAGGAAGATTAGGACGGTTATTCTCCATGGTTATTTCCCCAAACACGAATGCATTCTGGTATAAAACATGAATATATACATGTTTGACAAATTAGTTTTTAATGCATTTGGAATGCATTTTGACTCCACTCATTGACCTTTTATGTCTCAGTACTTACTGTTACTGAAAGAAAAAAAAAAGGCAAGAAAAACAACCTTCGGATGCACCTTTTTTGAGTTTTTATATATATTACTAAAGCCCTCGTTAAAGGCTAAATAAAGACTGGATACATATTATGAGATGGACACTCTCCTGATGATACAATAGAGGGGAGAGCAGAGAAACACTCAGCTCCACACCACAGGATACAATACTGTGCAGGTGACTGCAGAGACCTTTTTGTTTCAGGTTTTATCCTGCAGCAATAATAACTACTGGTGATTACTGCAAATTGATCACTTTTCAGGAACCTCTCTCATATGGGGATAATACATACTGCTTCCATTCTACAGAAAGGAAAACCTGGAAGGAGAATATGAAGTACTTTTCCAGCACTAGAATATCACTATTCAGAACTGAAACTTAAACACTGTAATACAGAATAAAAAGCTAAATGGATTCCAACCACTAAGCCATATTTATATTACCTTACTCTTTCTGATTTTTAAAGGGTACTGAATATAAGCAGCATGGAATAAAATCCAGTATTATTCACTTTAATTATTTTCATATTATAAAGTAAAGCCTACACTAGATATCTGTAACAGAACTTTGATTATATGAAATTATCATATTTGAAATCTGAGAATACTGTACACACTCATATTCTTATATTTCTTAATATCTTTATGCCTGGGAACAATGTATATCACAGCAACCAAACTAAAATTAACGCAGATATATTTTAAATACTTAATGATCTCACAGTGATTTTTATTACACAGCAACAGAATTGGGCATTTATTTGTTTTCCTCAGAGGAGAGTAATACAGAACTAATAAGATCACTATATTATTAGTCATGGATGACAACAGTGTAAATTCATTCCAGAGGTCTAATTGTTTTTAGTAGAGTAAACATCAATTTTCAAGGAAGGTCTTAATAACTGCAACTTAATAACTCCTAAGCTTAGCATAATGCTACTGATCAGAATATATGACACTCTCTAAAACTAAATTTTGTTAGAGAAATTTTGACAACAAGTAATACATATAAATTACCAGATTAGGCACCTGAAGCTAAACTGTAGGTAAAATGATTCTCTTGAGTCTCCTTAAGATGTATACATCTTAATTCAATGGGAAATTCTTATATGCTCCCTGCAGTGACAAGCACAACTAGGCACAAACTATTTCCCCTGCTTGTCCGGAGTGAAAAGTGGAAGAAATGAAAATGGAGAAAATAGCGTTTTGGGCTGCTCCACAACCCATTTTTCAACAGTGAAAATTTGCATTTAGTTTTCTAGCTCTTTAGAAGACTCCATGAAGAATCAATGCAAATTTCGGACAGGGCCCTCCTTAAAGACATACATTGACCCATTTGATACTATTGACCCAAAGAATATACTTTACCAAAGTAAAGAATATACTCTGGTTATTTTTCGATTTTTCTGTTATTCTTTTAGTCATGATAACAAGCCAGTGAATTTGACATTAATTCCTCCAGATTTTTAGTCAGGCTACACGTCCTTTTCCTTCTTTCGACCACCCTTTCCCTAGGTATCTGGTGCTCTTTGGCACCTCCTGGGGACCTCCATGGCTTTGGTCCTGGAGGATGCCCCATGAAGAGCCACTTTGGTTGGCACAAGCCAGTGGCCAGCACCAAGTGCAGCCCTTTGCCCAACCACAGCCCCTACAAAGCCCAGGGAAACGGAGCCCGGACGCACAGGCGCAGGAGGAAAGGTTGGTGCTTTGCTTCCCTTTGGTGGAAGGAGTGTGCAATACTTTCCCTCATTTTTTCAGTAAAGAAGCAAGCACGCTGCCCATCCTTGGGCACAGCGACATAGAGGCACATGAGGAACCCGCGTCCCTGCGACCGGTGCTCATCTACCTGGTACGGGAAAGGGGGCACACGCTCTGCCACGTCCCTCTGAACCCAAATAGCTGTTAGCGTCAAAGAAAGTCTCTAGCTCGTGTGTTCCCATTCTTTCTGGGCCTTTTCTGGGCATTTTCAGCTACATACGTAGATCCGTGCACTCGCTCTAGGCAAAAGCCAGAGCTCACATTAAGGAACCATTTTAATTTAGCGTTTTCCAAAGACTTCAAGGAGCACCGAGATTTAAGGTGTGCAGCACACTCCTGCCTGTGTGCTGCTTTGCTGTTCTGACTCAAGCCTCACTGAAAACTCATGTGTTCATTTAGTTTTTTGGCAGTATGTGGTAACTTTAAAAAGAGTAGAAATTAGATAGTTGTATTTCTCCATTAACTATCATTGCCATGAACAAAAAAAAAGAAAAAGGAAGCACATCAAACACATTTCTAAGCAGATAGACTCAAGTTCTTGCTTCTGCTCAGGCACAGGCACTATTTCTCCTTTTGACACGTGGATCCAGTGTTTAAGCTATTTTATAGCAGTAATTAGCACTGACAAGCCTTAATATATTACTGATTAAATGGGAGAATTCCCATTTAAATTTGGTCCTTTTCCCATTGAATTAGAAAGAGCATCTCCGTCTTTAACATGCACATAAATGCATGCTATCACCTTGAAAGCGTAAGGCATGAAATCTTAATGCTCAGCTGCTCAGCTGCTTTATAATTGGCTTGATGCCTCCCGAGTCAGCTTCAGGAATTCACAACTTTTTACAAGAAAACGTAGAGGATACAGGCTATCTCGGAGGGTTTACACAGAAGCCAATCACTTTCTCATCATTTGAATAACATTTTAGAGGCACCGCAAGAGCACAAGTGAAAATCACTCTCCAATGGCTCACGTAGTCATCCCAGCAGCGCTTCACAATATGCTCCTTCCTGAAATCTGCTCGATGGCCACGGCGGTATCAGCAAAGCCCAGCGGGTGCCGGGCTTCCCTCCACACTTCCCTCTCCAACCCTGGGCAGCCCAGATTACCAACACAAGACTGGGACAGAGACGAGATGAGCAATTGTGTGGTCAGAAAATTCCAACTACAAGGTTCTTACAACCTCATTAGTTACAGATTAGGGGGAGTTAAATACTTCAGATGAGATTTTTATACGTTAGAAACCAAAAGACAAATAAAAACCAGTGCATTGAATAGAAAATGACCTAACTTAGCCCACACAGAAGCGATTCCTAAGAACAGTGGAACGTCTAGTACCTGTCCACGTTGATGCGTGGTGGTTTAGCAACTTCACAATCTTCCACTGAGAATTCCAGAACTGGAACCGTCTTTTAAACACACTCAAGTCCCTTCTAAAGAATAGCAAGAATAGCAGTTGGGAGATGTGTCCTCCACTCTCCTTTGCTTCACAGTTTTATAGGAAAATGCAGAGTACCCCTCAGTGAGGAGACACTTGAGGCTTTCTGGATGGAGGGAGTCAAATTCTGGTCTCATTTTGCTTTAGACGATCACCAGGTAAAACAGACGTAGAGAGTATTTTGTAAGCAATGTTTGACACTCGCGGTGCCTTCCTTCCTTCCTTCCTCTAACCCAGGCTCCAGCACGAATTAGACACGAGAATCCTCTCCCTCCACAAAATCGGAATGCCTCTGACTATCTGTAGGATGCATCCAGAAGATCCCATCACAGAATAACTTCATATACCATAAAAAGCCTCATAAATAAAGCTTGCCTTGGAAGTATGAGGTACAGATTGGAATCTCTTCAGATGCTGGTACAAACACAAGTCTCCCAAACCATTAGTGGTTAAGTGATCCATTCTTTTGGGTAAAAAGAGGGCATGGATGTTACCTGCTATTTCTGTATTTTAAGGATGTTACCTGCTATTTCTGTATTTTAAAATACAAGGTTTCAAGGCATTTAAAACACATTCTGAGTCAGTACAGTTGAGGATTTCATCTCCCACTTGCTAGGTCAGATCATCTCAACAGGAGATATAGAGAGAACACCTGTTCTACTAGTCCTAATTAGACACAGACATCACTGAACTTCTTTGCCCTTTTCAAAGCATCACAAACACATGAAAAAAAAAAAAGGTCCTAATAAATACAATATAAAAAGGGACATAAAAAAATTCACAGTCCTCCAAAATTTTGTGGTCAATGATTTAAGTTTTTCAGTTTTGAATTTTGGCACCTAAATCCCTCTATACTTTCCACTTCAGATGATGTTAAATGCTCATTTACTTTTTTGTGTGTGTGTAGAGGATCCCCTTTTTCGGGGGAGAAAAGGAAAGTCAGATTCATGCCTGTGTACGACTAGGTGTCCAAACGATGAGCGGAACCGGACATCATTTAGAATGACAGCAGCGCTGCGAAAAGGCTGCTGCTAATCCTCTTACAAGGTTTTAATAGAAGGACTCACAGTTAATACAAACCCAGGTGGTCCTCACAGACAGATGATGATGTACTTCATAATATCACATGGGAACACGAGCTTCAATACATAAGAGCCTATTCCTCAACTGCGCTTCCAAGGAACCTGTTTAACGTCAGACCCAATGATTCCATGGCTTAGACAGCAATTTATGTCCAGCTGATAACTAATCTAGTCCCTGCATAGGACATAACTGATAGCTTTATTGCTTTATTATCCTGAAATGTAGGGACAGCCTTTATCACCATTTTTCTTTTTCTCTTTTCTTTTCTCTTTTCTTCTCCTTTTCTTTTCTTTTCTTTTCTTTTCTTTTCTTTTCTTTTCTTTTCTTTTCTTTCCTTTCCTTTCCTTTCCTTTCCTTTCCTTTCCTTTCCTTTCCTTTCCTTTCCTTTCCTTTCCTTTCCTTTCCTTTCCTTTTCCTTTCTTTTAAACGGAAT